AATTTGTAACATCTTGAAGTTAAGGGTGGGCATCAATTCGGCTAAATTGATGAAATCAGCCGATTCAAATTGTAATTACTGGTTTGGTTTGGTTTTAATTAATAAAAAGTTAAACGGTTTAAAAACCTAATCGAACTGTGTATGGTTTGGTTTGATTTAGTTTTAAACTTTTATAAATAGACCTAAACCAAATTGAACTGTTAGATATGAATATTTGAATTAAGCTATATTAGTTATGAAATTTGAAATTTTATGGCATGTTAAGCTTTAGGATGGTTTCGTACCCTAAAAAATGATTGAAGTATAGGACAAGTTGTGCATTTGTTGGGTTGTAATTGGACTAACAATGTTGAAAAAATACAAAAGAAAAGAGAATTGGGCTTAGGCCCAAACCAACATAACCAAACCGAACTAAACCATCTTAAATTGATTTGGTTTTCTTCATGATTTTTGTTAAGCCAAACTGAACCTTATATTATAATTGATTCGGTTATAATTTTGAGGTGAAACCAATCCAATCCAAAATATGCCCGCCCCTACTTGAAGTATATGTTTTAAACCTTAAATTACACCATCATATACCAAAGAGTTGATTCTTCCTTTACAAAAATTGGGAATATTGTTTTCCCTCTTGCAATGGTTTAATGTGAAATACTTTATTTTTATTTACACTTCATTTTACAGATATATACCAAACAACTTATTCTAAGTCTCCAAAAAGCCCTCGTACGGTTAATGAATTGTATTATTGATGACCATATTGTAACCAATGCTTCCAGTTAATGAAATTTACTTCTTTTTGTTTGATTTCTTCGAAATGTATGTTAAAGTTAACTAAGTAATTTGAAATATTGAAGAAAGATTAAGTTATCAAGAAATAAATTAAGTTCAATCTCCTCTCCTCCCTGTATATTAGAATAGCTTAAAATATCATTTTGTCAAATAAAATAAAAATACAATTTAGTTTGCTGGTATTAATGAGGAATTGGAATAAACTAACGAATGGGCCTGCGGAGGAAAAGAACCGATTGGGCCTGTGAAGATAATTTGCATTACAGCAGAAACCAATGGATCCGAGACAAAGGTGGCAAATAATAACGGAAAAAAGAAGGGGTCAAAGTAGAAATTAGAAAAGGTATGGGGATAAAATGGAATTTCCGCACAAAATTGTTTCCGGGAAATCTTTTGCAGCTTGACCCAAAAAAGAGGGGGAAAGCTTTTGCAGCTAGAAAGGGTCGTTTTGTCGTTTCTTCTTCACTCTTCTTCTCTGACGCAGCACAACGAACGAGAGGCTGCTGCATTAGCTCCATTACTTGGGCTCTGCTGCATTAGCTCCATTCCTAAACTTTCTCTTTCCTTCATCTGGCAATTTTTGTTTGGAATTTTGATTTATAGAGTGGAGCTAAGGGTTCTTGTTGCTCCCTTGTTATTTTTTTTGCTCAATTATAGCTGAGTTTTGTCTCCATTGCTTTTGTCAGTTGGTATAAGTATTTGAATTTGGAAGACATGGATAACATACAAGATATCACACAAGGGATACAGGAATTGAAATTTGAAGTAATGACACGCTCTTTTCCTGAGGAATTTATACAACAGACCGTAATTAGACTACCTGTTAAGTCTCTGATCAAATGCACTTCAGTCTGCAAGACATGGAGGTCCATGATCATGAACAAAAGCTTCATCCGCGCCCACAGCACAACAGTGGACTTTGCTAACCAGAATGACGTTCACATCCTCCTACTCCACAGAATTTCTGGTAGCAGCAGCCTCAACTACGACCAAAATACTGTCATTCACAAGGTAGAAGACGAGGTTCACTCTGTGCATCATGATAACCAGGCGTTTGATGTGTACTCCAAGATCGAATTTCTAATTGCCTCTAAGAAAAATTATGGTAATTCACATGCCGAAGATTATTCAATGGAATTTCAAGTTGGGATTGCAATTGTCTGTTTCAGATAACAGAAAATCTATTGCTTTGTTCATGAGGCCCAACAATCGTGAAGATTTCATAACGGATTATAGGCCTGAAGATTCTGTTCTTGATATATGGGTGATGAAAGAGTATGGCAGAGAGGAATCATGGACCAAATTGAATACTCTCTGTCCACAAGGTCCAGAAACAATTTTCCCCAGTGCCTTATGTTTTAGGAAGAGTGGGGAAGTACTGTTACTGCTCAAAGAAGAAGAGAGGCAGGAACTGGTATCACTAGACCTTGTGAGCAAACAGTTTAAAATTCTTGGGATTTCTGGATATAAATATTGTACTGGTCATTTTTATAAAGAGAGCCTCCTCTAACTCGACAAGAGCGATGCAGAGTCTTACTAAGAGAAAGAACAGGTAATGTGATTATAGTGCTGAGAGCAGAACATTTCAATTCTTTGTTTGCCAGGTTTTTATGTTCATTAAAAGCATGATTGTTGACTAAATTGCTGTAGGATCTTTATTATGTCGACTTGTTGTGGGTTCTTTCTTTTAGCTGATTGTCTTTCTCGCTTCTGTTGCTAGAACACAACTTGTGACTAAAGTCAACACAGCTCTCATGGAGACTCAATTTGGATATCAAAAAGTTAAAACAGTGTAATTATAATAAGGTCAACTCAGCTCTCATGTAAACACGATTAGACTGGTCTTTTATGTGCTCTTAGTCTTAGTCAACTTGGTATGACTTTAGACATTGGACTGATTGCTGCTACTGCAGTGAAGTCCGTGTATTCAATTTACATGGTTTTGTTTGCTGCTTTAATCCCTTTTCCAATGTTTTCATTTGTACAATAGTTTCTTTTCCAATTTAGCTTTCATTTGTGCAAGCATGAAGAGGAAGTTTGATTTGCACTCCTGAAGAAGTACAGGGAAAAGTTTTCATGACAAGTGATGTCAACTCTAATGCTTAACAATTGATTAATGCAGCACTTTTCTTGTTTTCTTTTGTTGCAGATTTGTAGTGCAGTAACGTTGTTTACCGAAAGTGGCTGATGCCAGATGTGCGTCAACGTCCGTTTCTTGTTATCTATCATGCTGATGTATTTTCGTTTTCTTGTTCATTTTTTGCCGATTTGTAGGGCAGTAGCGTCCTATGCCTGAAGTGCCTGATGTTTCTGTGTATTTACTTGGCATGGAACTTGTTATCTAGTAGTTCTTGCACTATTTATTCTTCAGCTTTTGGGAAACTTTAATGGAAGTATCTAGTTACAAATTTCACCAGTTTGCATGAAATGCTTTTGCAATTTTCTTTTTCATTTTTTTTGCATAGTTTTCTTTTTTTGCCGATTTGTAGGGCAGTAGCGTCCTATGCCTGAAGTGCCTGATGTTTCTGTGTATTTACTTGGCATGGAACTTGTTATCTAGTAGTTCTTGCACTATTTATTCTTCAGCTTTTGGGAAACGTTAATGGAAGTATCTAGTTACAAATTTCATTTGCCTTTGCAGTTCTCTGCACCAGTTTCCATGAAATGCTTTTGCAATTTTCTTTTTCATTTTTATTGCATAGTTTTCCCTGAGCTGAACAATTGACAGCAGAATTCACTTTTAATTAAGTAATGAAGGTGATTTGAAATTGTACCCTGTTTTAGTTAACTGCATGCCTGCAACATATGATGGTTGTCTATTTTTGCAAATGCATTCGTTTAAAGACCATTTTTGCAACATTAAACTCAACCTCCATTCAACATTCGACTCAATAATGAAGGGAAACTCTCTTTGATTTTTAAATTTCATTAAAATTCCCAGAAGCTCGGACAAAGCACCTTGTTTCAGAGGCTAGAGCTGTTTCAGCATTTGAATTAAGAACTAATTTGTTAATCATAGCAGTGAATAAAGCATATATCAGCACTAGTCTGCTGTAAGAACATTTTAATTACGAGTTGAAATCACTGTTGCAGTTTTCCATTGAATGGTTTTCCTTTAGGGATTTAGATTAATCACCTCTTTGATTTGATTAGATCTGATTTCTAATCCAAATTTCACCAAAGCAATGTCCATCGGAGTCTAAGCTTTTGTGGAAAGAGCCTTAACTTGCAGAGTAGTGATCTCACCCCTTAGTACCTTGACAATGTATGTAAGAAAACAACCCCCAAATCACCTCTTTGATTTGATTAGATCTGATTTCTAATCCAAATTTCACCAAAGCAATGTCCATCGGAGTCTAAGCTTTTGTGAAAAGAGCCTTAACTTGCAGAGTAGTGATCTCACCCCCTTAGTACCTTGACAATGTATGTAAGAAAACAACCCCGCAAATATCAACTTTAGTAATTTACCGTTTTCTTTTGAATTTAATGCTTGAATTCCATATAAGATTTGACGTGCATGCCATCTTTGACTCTTTTGAGGTTGAAAAGGTCAATATGTCAACCAGAAGATGCAACTTTTGAAACATGTTGTGATGACAGCTGGTGGAGAGAGAGGTATTCATCAAATGAGTTTATATTCTTAATTGAAGGGAGAAGAGAGGCTTAGAGAATAGTTGGTTTACTATTTAGGACAATATTCTCTTTTTTTTCTTTTTTTTTTTTTGGGAAAGAAGAACTCATTGATAATAATTAAGTGGATACAACAATGTCATCATTTACAATTGATCCAGCCAGAAGGGAACCTCTTCAATCCAGGTTACCATAATATCACAATTTAGGACAATATTCTTTATGTGGAATAGAAAGCTTTTTGAAAGAGTAGCAAGATATTTTTATTTTATTGATTGAAATAAGAAGGGTACAAGGTTTTCCTTTTTAATCAAGGAAAGCTGAAATGTACGGCTGCCTAACTCCTCCCATTATCCAACTCTTGTATCCAACCAATTCTTATATTTTCTTTATTATTCAAAGTATTCAAAGTATTTTTAGCTGAAATCTACGGCTTTCTTATATTTTCTTTATTATTCAAACTACAAGGTGCATTACTTTTTAACATATATAATGGGTAAGAAACCATAGTCCACGACCAAGACTTTCGAAACCAAGGCCAGGCATAGTTAATATCATTACAGAAAAATGTATTTTACTTCTAGCTTTTGCTTCTTCCATCTTCTCTGCAAAACTTTTGTAGTCTCAGAATATCGATGCAATCATGCAAGCCTTGAGAAGACTTTTTGTCTGCTCCTTGTTAATCTCCTTCCTAAGAATCTCAACTACAACCGCATTAGACACAATCACTCCAAGTCTATCAATGAGAGATGGTGAAACTCTAGTTTCAGCAGGTGGAAGCTTCGAACTGGGATTCTTTAGCCCTGGTACATCAAAGGGCCGATACTTGGGAATATGGTACTCTGTTGATACTAAGACAGTCGTATGGGTAGCTAACAGAGAAACACCACTTGCCGATTCTTCAGGAGTTTTGAAGGTCACCGAGCAAGGAGTTCTAGTCCTTCTCAATAGCTCAAACAGCATGGTATGGTCATCCAATTCATCAAGAACTGCAAGGAATACAGTATCACAACTCTTGGATTCAGGAAACCTTGTTGTGAAAGATGGAAATGAAACTAACCCTGATAACTTCTTGTGGCAGAGTTTTGATTATCCTTGTGACACATTCCTACCAGAAATGAAGCTTGGTTGGGACTTAGTTACTGGTTTAGAGAGGCATGTCTCGTCTTGGAAGGGCACAGACGATCCTGCTGAAGGAGAGTTTTCAATAAGGATGGATCGCCGTGGTTTGCCACAAGTTGTTACTATGAAAGGAGCTAAGATAATGGCTAGAGAAGGGTCATGGAACGGCCTTTCTTTTACAGGAAATGCATATCCTCAACAAGTAGCAGCACACCCAATATTTGGGTTAAGGTGTGTGTTTAACAAGGATGAGGTCTATTGTGAGTACAGGCTTCTAAACACGTCCATGTTCTCGAGATATATGGTGAATCCATCAGGTGTTGTGCAGCGATTCACATGGGTGTACCAAACACATAGTTGGGAACTTTCCTCTACATTCCAAGCAGATCACTGTGAGAATTATGCCTTGTGTGGTGCATATTCTAGTTGCAATATCAATGTCTCTCCCATATGTGCATGCTTGAAGGGATTTGTACCAAAATCTCCAAAAGATTGGAATTCAGGATATTGGTCTGATGGGTGTGTTAGAAAGATTCCACTGGCTTGCAGCTCTGGAGATGGCTTCCTAAAGTACACTGGGGTTAAATTGCCAGACACATCTTCCTCATGGTTTGACAAAAGCATGAGCCTCAAGGAATGCAATGGATTATGTTTGAACAACTGCTCATGTACGGCATATGCAAATTTAGATATCAGGGGAACTGGCTGCTTGCTGTGGTTTGGTAGCCTCATTGACATAAGGGAATTCACTCCCGGTGGCGGTCAAGACCTCTACATACGGATTGAAGCTTCAGAACTTGGTAAGTCTTAGACTTTTATTTGATCTTATTTTTGTTTTTCTAGACAATAGTGGAAAACATTTTGACAATATATTTAGAGGTTAAGGGAAAATGAGTTTTTGTCTGCTTGTTATGTTTTGCTTTTGGAAGGGGGTTTGATGGGGCAGCAGTAAGAAGCAGCATGAAAACCCGAATTATATGTTCTTCTACCTAACGGTAATAGCATGAAAACCACAAATGGTGGAGATTTCCTGGGTTGGCCTTGCTGCTTCATCTGCAGTTATGCAAAGTATAGCTAAAATAAGTTGGTTTTAGATTCACAATTACTTTAACATGAGAAAATTGCATGAAGATTCTGTTTTAATTATAATATTTCAGATAGAATTGAGAGAAAGAGCACTTTCAAGAAGAAAAAGCTACCCAAAATCTACGGCTTTCTTATATTTTCTTTATTATTCAAACTACAAGGTGCATTACTTTTTAACATATATAATGGGTAAGAAACACTAGTCCACGACCAAGACTTTCGAAACCAAGGCCAGGCATAGTTAATATCATTACAGAAAAATGTATTTTACTTCTAGCTTTTGCTTCTTCCATCTTCTCTGCAAAACTTTTGTAGTCTCAGAATATCGATGCAATCATGCAAGCCTTGAGAAGACTTTTTGTCTGCTCCTTGTTAATCTCCTTCCTAAGAATCTCAACTACAACCGCATTAGACACAATCACTCCAAGTCTATCAATGAGAGATGGTGAAACTCTAGTTTCAGCAGGTGGAAGCTTCGAACTGGGATTCTTTAGCCCTGGTACATCAAAGGGCCGATACTTGGGAATATGGTACTCTGTTGATACTAAGACAGTCGTATGGGTAGCTAACAGAGAAACACCACTTGCCGATTCTTCAGGAGTTTTGAAGGTCACCGAGCAAGGAGTTCTAGTCCTTCTCAATAGCTCAAACAGCATGGTATGGTCATCCAATTCATCAAGAACTGCAAGGAATACAGTATCACAACTCTTGGATTCAGGAAACCTTGTTGTGAAAGATGGAAATGAAACTAACCCTGATAACTTCTTGTGGCAGAGTTTTGATTATCCTTGTGACACATTCCTACCAGAAATGAAGCTTGGTTGGGACTTAGTTACTGGTTTAGAGAGGCATGTCTCGTCTTGGAAGGGCACAGACGATCCTGCTGAAGGAGAGTTTTCAATAAGGATGGATCGCCGTGGTTTGCCACAAGTTGTTACTATGAAAGGAGCTAAGATAATGGCTAGAGAAGGGTCATGGAACGGCCTTTCTTTTACAGGAAATGCATATCCTCAACAAGTAGCAGCACACCCAATATTTGGGTTAAGGTGTGTGTTTAACAAGGATGAGGTCTATTGTGAGTACAGGCTTCTAAACACGTCCATGTTCTCGAGATATATGGTGAATCCATCAGGTGTTGTGCAGCGATTCACATGGGTGTACCAAACACATAGTTGGGAACTTTCCTCTACATTCCAAGCAGATCACTGTGAGAATTATGCCTTGTGTGGTGCATATTCTAGTTGCAATATCAATGTCTCTCCCATATGTGCATGCTTGAAGGGATTTGTACCAAAATCTCCAAAAGATTGGAATTCAGGATATTGGTCTGATGGGTGTGTTAGAAAGATTCCACTGGCTTGCAGCTCTGGAGATGGCTTCCTAAAGTACACTGGGGTTAAATTGCCAGACACATCTTCCTCATGGGTTGACAAAAGCATGAGCCTCAAGGAATGCAATGGATTATGTTTGAACAACTGCTCATGTACGGCATATGCAAATTTAGATATCAGGGGAACTGGCTGCTTGCTGTGGTTTGGTAGCCTCATTGACATAAGGGAATTCACTCCCGGTGGCGGTCAAGACCTCTACATACGGATTGAAGCTTCAGAACTTGGTAAGTCTTAGACTTTTATTTGATCTTATTTTTGTTTTTCTAGACAATAGTGGAAAACATTTTGACAATATATTTAGAGGTTAAGGGAAAATGAGTTTTTGTCTGCTTGTTATGTTTTGCTTTTGGAAGGGGGTTTGATGGGGCAGCAGTAAGAAGCAGCATGAAAACCCGAATTATATGTTCTTCTACCTAACGGTAATAGCATGAAAACCACAAATGGTGGAGATTTCCTGGGTTGGCCTTGCTGCTTCATCTGCAGTTAGGCAAAGTATAGCTAAAATAAGTTGGTTTTAGATTCACAATTACTTTAACATGAGAAAATTGCATGAAGATTCTGTTTTAATTATAATATTTCAGATAGAATTGAGAGAAAGAGCACTTTCAAGAAGAAAAAGCTACCCAGAATACTCATCGGCTCTGCAGTTTTTCTTGTGTGGTTTATAATTGGATTGATATTGTATATACGAAAGAGGAAACTCAGAAATCAAGGTAAATATCTCAACATGGACCAAAGTATCTCGACTGTGAAATATGCATTAGATTATTAGTATTTAATTTCGTTAGTGTGATTTTCTTGTGTTCCAAGATTTGGTTTAGGGTAAAGCATTGAACCAATTAAATGGTGACACATGGCATATGGTGATTTGACCAATTGATTAACCAATAGAATTCTTACACATTAGGAGTTTTGAAGGTCACCGAGCAAGGAGTTCTAGTCCTTCTCAATAGCTCAAACAGCATGGTATGGTCATCCAATTCATCAAGAACTGCAAGGAATACAGTATCACAACTCTTGGATTCAGGAAACCTTGTTGTGAAAGATGGAAATGAAACTAACCCTGATAACTTCTTGTGGCAGAGTTTTGATTATCCTTGTGACACATTCCTACCAGAAATGAAGCTTGGTTGGGACTTAGTTACTGGTTTAGAGAGGCATGTCTCGTCTTGGAAGGGCACAGACGATCCTGCTGAAGGAGAGTTTTCAATAAGGATGGATCGCCGTGGTTTGCCACAAGTTGTTACTATGAAAGGAGCTAAGATAATGGCTAGAGAAGGGTCATGGAACGGCCTTTCTTTTACAGGAAATGCATATCCTCAACAAGTAGCAGCACACCCAATATTTGGGTTAAGGTGTGTGTTTAACAAGGATGAGGTCTATTGTGAGTACAGGCTTCTAAACACGTCCATGTTCTCGAGATATATGGTGAATCCATCAGGTGTTGTGCAGCGATTCACATGGGTGTACCAAACACATAGTTGGGAACTTTCCTCTACATTCCAAGCAGATCACTGTGAGAATTATGCCTTGTGTGGTGCATATTCTAGTTGCAATATCAATGTCTCTCCCATATGTGCATGCTTGAAGGGATTTGTACCAAAATCTCCAAAAGATTGGAATTCAGGATATTGGTCTGATGGGTGTGTTAGAAAGATTCCACTGGCTTGCAGCTCTGGAGATGGCTTCCTAAAGTACACTGGGGTTAAATTGCCAGACACATCTTCCTCATGGGTTGACAAAAGCATGAGCCTCAAGGAATGCAATGGATTATGTTTGAACAACTGCTCATGTACGGCATATGCAAATTTAGATATCAGGGGAACTGGCTGCTTGCTGTGGTTTGGTAACCTCATTGACATAAGGGAATTCACTCCCGGTGGCGGTCAAGACCTCTACATACGGATTGAAGCTTCAGAACTTGGTAAGTCTTAGACTTTTATTTGATCTTATTTTTGTTTTTCTAGACAATAGTGGAAAACATTTTGACAATATATTTAGAGGTTAAGGGAAAATGAGTTTTTGTCTGCTTGTTATGTTTTGCTTTTGGAAGGGGGTTTGATGGGGCAGCAGTAAGAAGCAGCATGAAAACCCGAATTATATGTTCTTCTACCTAACGGTAATAGCATGAAAACCACAAATGGTGGAGATTTCCTGGGTTGGCCTTGCTGCTTCATCTGCAGTTAGGCAAAGTATAGCTAAAATAAGTTGGTTTTAGATTCACAATTACTTTAACATGAGAAAATTGCATGAAGATTCTGTTTAATTATAATATTTCAGATAGAATTGAGAGAAAGAGCACTTTCAAGAAGAAAAAGCTACCCGGAATACTCATCGGCTCTGCAGTTTTTCTTGTCTGGTTTATAATTGGATTGATGTTGTATATACGAAAGAGGAAACTCAGAAATCAAGGTAAATATCTCAACATGGACCAAAGTATCTCGACTGTGAAATATGCATTAGATTATTAGTATTTAATTTCGTTAGTGTGATTTTCTTGTGTTCCAAGATTTGGTTTAGGGTAAAGCATCGAACCAATTAAATGGTGACACATGGCATATGGTGATTTGACCAATTGATTAACCAATAGAATTCTTACACATTTATTTATCCATGCTGAAGATCTACCAACAATTTCAGGAGTCAGAAAAGATTACCTTGGAGAAGACAGGGAAGACATGGAGTTACCATTATTTGATTTGTCCACCCTAGCTAAAGCCACTAATGACTTTTCAAGCAGCAACAAGCTGGGAGAAGGTGGTTTTGGACCTGTGTACAAGGTAACATAAATTTATGCATCGAAAGTGAGCTACTCTGTGATACAAGTTGTAAGGCTTTTATAAATGATGATCCACAGGGTACATTGATAGGAGGGAAAAAAATTGCAGTGAAAAGGCTTTCGAAGAATTCCGGACAAGGAATTATAGAGTTCAAAAATGAAGTTATACTGATAGCAAGACTTCAGCACCGCAATCTTGTAAAGCTCTTAGGTTGTTGCGTTCAAGAAGAGGAAAAAATCTTGATATATGAATTCATGCCCAACAAAAGCTTGGACTTCTTTGTTTTTGGTATGGTCCTCTCTGATGCCAACCATATGGCTTTTAAGTCATACTATCATTCACCTTTAATCTTATTCTACAAGGATTCAATGTTGCATTGAGTTAACAGTCTGAAATTTTCTTCAGATCAAGAAGGACAAAAATTGCTTGACTGGCCTACGTGCTTCCACATTATTGGTGGAATTGCTAGAGGGCTTCTTTATCTTCACCAAGATTCTAGATTAAGGATTATCCATAGAGATTTGAAAGCTAGCAATATCCTGCTTGATACTGATATGAACCCTAAGATTTCAGACTTCGGCCTCGCTAAAACATTTGAAAGTGATCAAAGTCGGGGTAATACAAAAAGAGTGGTTGGAACGTAGTAAGTACATTTTCTATGGTTTACATTTTACATTGTGTTGTTTTTGTTGAATTCTTACTGACCGAAACTTGATTGTGCAGTGGTTACATGTCTCCCGAATATGCGGTAGATGGAATTTTCTCAATGAAATCTGATGTCTTTAGCTTTGGAGTTATACTGTTAGAGATGTTGAGTAGGAAGAAGAACAGGGGATTTTCTCATCCAGATCACCACCTTAATCTTCTTGGACATGTGAGTATAAAGCATTAAGTACTATCATTTTACTTTGAAAAAACTAGCGAACTAGACGGTGCAATGTTCTAAGCACTTTCTCCAATGACATGCCGTATACCAGTATAGACAGAATGTAGCAATGCTCTAATTACATGTCATCCTACTAACATCTCATTTATGTTTCAAGGCATGGACATTATGGATTCAAGATAAACAACTGGAATTGATAGATAAGACGTTATATGATTCATGCAACATATCTGAAGTGTTAAGGTGTCTTCATGTGGGGCTGTTATGTGTGCAAAGAGTAGCAGAAGATAGACCAAACATGTCATATGTGGTTCTAATGTTGAGCAGTGATATTACTTTGCCTCCACCAAAGCAGCCTGGTTTTTACACTGAACGAAGTGTCCCTGAATCACCATCAAGGAAGCGCCCGTTTTCAGTGAATTATTTCAGCACTACAGTGATCGAGGCTCGGTAGATTTTTGTTCTGGGTGCTTTGTTGATGGTTCTGTCTATCATCACAGAATGTGTTTGGCAGGTTGACTTGATGCTTGTAGTCTTCGGTGGGAGACAATGACATGAGACATTATCATTATTCATGTTATGCAAGAAAAATGTGTTGAATTAGAAGTTGGTTTGGAGCTTTGCTTTGCTTTGCCGTTCATTTTCTTTTACTCTGTTCTACTCCCCCAAGGTATGCTGTAAGTAATGATATTTAACAACCAGAAAATGTGTGAATTGTGAATAATGTGTGAGACTTCATCCATTTAGGTAATTTTACGTTTGTTGAAATTCACATTGCAGTCCAATTGATTTTTTTTTTTTCATTAGTCATTTCCTGATGCACAAATCTTAGAATGAACACTGATAACAGTAAAAGATGAAAACAAAGTGTTTCTTTTCTTTTCATTCTTTGAGAATACGATCGAATTTCAGTGGGAAGGAAAGCAGTTAATACATCAGCGCATAGGAGAGAGGAGACCCAAGAGGGACCCTCATCTAAAGAAATTTGGCGCCACACACGCTTTAACAACCAATGGAAGTAGAAGATTATGGGTAACAATTTTCCGAGCTCTCAATGAAGTGTAAAGCTTTCTGGATTCTCTGAGGAAAACTCATGTCGTGTTTGGGATGATATTAGCAAACGTCCATGCACGCAGGTCTGGTTCGGGAATTTGATCGAACAAGTGGTGGGCGCCTTGTAAATCGCCTGAATCAAAGTAAATGTTGAAGAACCGGCCCAGGTGATCTTATTTATTATTATTGTTCTAATGGCTTTTGCATCTTGTCACTCATTTGTATCGTTATGTAAAATACGCAAGATGAATTGAAGGTGCACCACTATATTTACCATTGCATACCCCATTTCTAACAGAGTTGAATTTAAGTAGAGGCTGAGTTGTGCTAATCCTTGAATTCCATTTAAGATTTGACATGCATGCATGATGGCTATTTTGGGCTCTTTTTGAGGTTGCAAAAGTCAAATATGTTAACCAAAAGTGAAGCTTCATGGCTGCTGGGTATTTGTCATGTGGGTTTATATGAGAATTCTACAATAAATTTGTTTGGCAATCCACCACTGGAGATGACACACACAAGTGTGGTCAATTATCAGCTGTCAACTTGGTTGAGTCTTTTTCCTCCTGTGAAATGCCCTTGTATTGCATGTCCTAATTGCCCAAGGTCGGCTATTTTGGGCTCTTTTTGAGGTTGCAAAAGTCAAATATGTTAACCAAAAGTGAAGCTTCATGGCTGCTGGGTATTTGTCATGTGGGTTTATATGAGAATTCTACAATAAATTTGTTTGGCAATCCACCACTGGAGATGACACACACACATGTGGTCAATTATCAGCTGTCAACTTGGTTGAGTCTTTTTCCTCTTGTGAAATGGCCTTGTATTGCATGTCCTAATTGCCCACGATACATGACTTTCTTCCACAGAGACCAACTTTCCAAAACAAGGTGCCGTGTAAAATAAGAAAACCAAGTCTAACAAATATAGGCTTACTTATTATCAGTACAGAAACGTATCCTGTACTTTTACGTTTTGGTTCTTCCATCTCCTCTGCATAATTTCTTTGAAAAAGTATAGTCTCAGAATATCAATGCAAGCCTTGAGAAACCTTTTTGTGTGCTTCTTGTTATTCTCCTTCTTAAGAATTTCAACTACATCCACCCTAGACACAATCACTCCAAGTAGATATATTAGAGATGGTGAAACTCTAGTTTCTGCAGGTGGAAGTTTTGAACTTGGATTCTTTAGCCCCGGTGCATCCGAAGGCCGATACTTGGGAATCTGGTACACTTTTGATACTAAGGCAGTTGTATGGGTAGCCAACAGAGAAACACCACTTGGCGATTCTTCAGGAGTTTTGAAGGTCACTGAGCAAGGAGTTCTAGTCCTTCTCAATACCTCAAACAGGATTGTATGGTCATCAAATTCATCAACAACTGCAGGGAATCCAGTGTCTCAACTCTTGGATTCAGGAAATCTTGTTGTGAAAGATGGAAATGAAACTAACCCTGATAAATTCTTGTGGCAGAGTTTTGATTATCCTTGTGACACATTCCTACCAGAAATGAAGCTTGGTTGGGACTCAAGTACTGGTTTAGATAGGTACGTCTCTTCTTGGAGGAGCACAGAAGATCCTGCTCCAGGAGAGTTTTCATTACGGATGGATCGTCGTGGTTTCCCGCAAGTTGATACTATGAAAGGAGCTAAGATAATGGCTACAGCAGGGTCATGGAACGGCATTTATTTTACAGCATATCCATATCCTCCACAAACACGGGAAAACCAAATACTTGGGTATAAATTTGTGTTGGACAAGGATGAGATCTATTATGAGTACAGACTCCTAAACAGGTCCATGTTCTCAAGATACGTACTGAATCCATCAGGCACTGCACAGCGATTCACATGGGTGCACCAAACACATAGTTGGGAACTTTCCTCTACATTCCAAGCAGATCAGTGTCAAAATTATGCCTTGTGTGGCGCATATACTAGTTGCAATATGAATGTCTCTCCCTCATGTGCATGCTTGAAGGGATTTGTACCAAAATCTCCAAAAGATTGGAATTCGGGATATTGGTCTGGTGGGTGTGTTCGAAAGATTCCATTGGCTTGCAGCTATGGAGATGACTTCCTAAAGTACACTGGTGTTAAATTGCCAGACACATCTTCCTCATGGTTTGATAAGAGCAGGAGCCTCAAGGAATGTAAGGGATTATGTTTGAAAAACTGCTCATGTACGGCATATGCAAATTTAGATATCAGGGAGGGAGGAACTGGCTGCTGGCTTTGGTTTGGTAACCTCACTGACATAAGACAATTCAATCCCGGTGGTGGTCAAGACCTCTATATACGGATGGCAGCTTCAGAACTTGGTAGCTCTTAGACTTTTATTTCATCTTATTTTTGTTTTTCTAGCCAATAACAAAATCACAATATACTTAGAGGTTCAGGGAAAATGAGTTTGTCGTCTACTTTTTATGTTTTTCTTTTGGAAGGGTGTTTGATGGGGGCAGCAGTTAGAAGCAGCATGGTTAAAATCACTGAGCTTTACCTAGATCTAGGTCCATAGTCAAAGTCGAACTACATGTTCTTCTACCCAATGGTAATAGCATGAAAACCACAAATGGCGTTATTTCCTGGGTTGGCCTGCTTCATGTGCAGTTATGCAGAGTATGGCTAAAATAAGTTGGTGTTAGATTCAGAGTTACTGCATCATGATAAATTTTTTACCTAATTGCATGAAAATTTGGTTTAATTGTGATCTTTCAGACGGAATTGAGAAAAAGAGCAAGTTCAACAGGGAAAAGCTACCTGGAATTCTCATCAGCTCTGCAGTTTTTCTTGTTGGAACATTAATAACTGGATTGATATTGTATATACGGAAGAAGAAACTCAGAAATCAAGGTAAAAATTGGATTCTTTCAAATACATGATTGTAAAATTCGGGCACAAAAAATTAAACCAAAGTATCTTTACTATGAAATTTGCATTAGATTGTTAGTATTTTGATAGTGTGTGATTTTCTTTTGTTCCAAGATTTGGCTTAGGGTTTTTCATTTAACCAATTAAATTAGGACACATGGCATATTGTGATTTGACAACCAATAGAATTATTACACATCTATTTATCCATGCTGAGGAGATCTTGTCATTTCAGGAGTCAGAAGCATAGATTGCAGAAAAGATTACCTTGGAGAAGACAGGGAAGACATGGAGTTACCACTATTTGATTTGAGCACCGTAGCTAAAGCCACCAATGACTTTTCAAGCAGCAACAAGCTGGGAGAAGGTGGTTTTGGACCTGTGTACAAGGTAACAATAATTTATGCAACTAAAGTGAGCTATTCTGTGGTAAGTTTTAAAACTTTTCTAAATGATGATCCATAGGGTACATTGATAGGAGGGAAAGAAATTGCAGTGAAAAGGCTTTCAAAGGATTCCGGACAAGGACTGCGGGAGTTCAAAAATGAAGTTATACTGATAGCCAGACTTCAGCATCGCAATCTTGTAAAGCTTTTGGGTTGTTGCATTCAAGAAGATGAAAAAATCTTGATATATGAATTCATGCCTAACGGAAGCTTGGACTTCTTTATTTTTGGTATGGTTCTCTCTAAAGTCAACATATGGCTTTTAAGTCATACCATCCTTCACCTTTAATCTTATATATACTAGGATTCAATGTTGCATAGAGCTAACTGTCTCAAGTTTTCTTTAGATCAAGAGGGACAAAGGTTGCTCGACTGGCCTACGTGCTTCCACATTATTGGTGGAATTGCTAGAGGGCTTCTTTATCTTCACCAAGACTCTAGATTAAGGATTATCCATAGAGATTTGAAAGCTAGCAATATCCTGCTTGATAATAGTATGAACCCTAAGATTTCAGACTTCGGCCTCGCTAAAGCGTTTGGTGGTGATCAAAGTCAGGGTAATACAAAAAGAGTGGTTGGAACGTAGTAAGTATATTTTATATGGTTACATTTTACATTGTGCTGTTTTTGTTGAAATTCTTACTCACTGCAATTTGATTGTGCAGTGGTTACATGTCTCCTGAATATGCAGTTGATGGAATTTTCTCGATGAAATCTGATGTCTTTAGCTTTGGAGTTATACTGCTAGAGACATTGAGTAGGGAAAAGAACAGGGGATTTTCTCACCCAGATCACCACCTTAACCTTCTTGGACATGTGAGTATAAAGCATTAAGTACTATCATTTTACTTCGAAGAACCTAGTGAATTTGACGGTGCAATCTTCTAAGCTCCTCCTTGAATTCAATGACATGTCATATATCCCTAATAACCTATCATATACGTTTCAATTTCTTTAAGGCATGGACGCTATGGATTCAAGAGAAACCATTGGAACTGATTGATAAGACATTAAGTGATTCTTGCACCATATCTGAAGTTTTAAGGTGTCTTCATGTCGGGCTGTTATGTGTGCAAAGAGTACCTGAAGATAGACCAAGCATGTCATCTGTGGTTCTGATGTTGAGCAGTGATATTACCTTGCCTCCACCAAAGCAGCCTGGTTTTTACACTGAACGAAGTGTCCCCGGATCACCATCAAGGATGCCCCGGTGTTCAGCGGATAATTTCATTACAATGGTAGAGGCGCGGTAAATCATGATTCTGGTGCATGTTCATGCTTCTCTCTACCATCACATACTGGATATGGCTGGTTGTCTACAACCTTAGCAGGAAAACTATGACCTGAGATTATCCATATTATGCAAGAAAGAAGTGATTGAATTAAAGTTTGCTTGGAGCAGTTCCTACCGCACAACAAAGAAAGGATTTGGGGTTTTTGGGTTGTTGAAGAAAATTTAACTATGATCTTACTCCCCCTAGGTATATAAAACTGTCAACTAACAAGCAGAAAATACGTGAATTGCTAACAATGTAAGAGAATTCATCCATTTAGGTAATTTTATGTTTTATGTTTGTTGAATTCAAATTGGGTTTTCCATATAAGTTATCAGTTTTGAGTTTTTCCCAATTGGCTGGTCGGTTGTCAGTTTTCCATATAATTCTGTTGTAGGATTGCTTGATTGTAAACTTAAAGCATGCTGAACGTTGGGATTATAAATTGCGTTTCATGCAGGTGTAAATTTTTGGGTAATGTGCTTTTACAAGGGAAACTCTGCTGAATTTTCGGCAGAAGTCAAACCCTAAAGAAACTTAGGTTTTTGTTAGAAGGGCAATTTGGTCATTTGTGCCTGGCACCCGCCAGGTGTCGGACACGCACAGGGTTCGGCTCAGATTCCAAAGCGGAATTTGGGTCGGGTCCTGTCAAATGTAAATCAACAAACACAAGTAGAAATACTGACAACTTTAGCGATTGAGGCTTGCAAGAATTGCAATGTCCTAAAGACAGATTTCGCCCCTGCCCTTGTGCTCGCAAGTCTTGCAAATGAAAAACTAAGGCACACGTCTCTTGGAGAAACTTATTTTTCATTCACTATAGAAATGAAATATTATTAAATAATATAAAATTTCTAACACGGGTTGGGTCGGTTTTGTAAGTTCGTGCTTAATTTGTCAACCAGCCCGATTCAAATAGGTTCTTGAATTTCACACCCAAAATCGAACAATTGTTATTAAGAAATCAAGACTATGGCGAACCAATTATATATTTGTACGCTCAAGACAAAACTAGGAAGAATTTAACAATAGAGTATTGGGGATACCCTTCAAGTTGATGAAGGGTGCTTGATTTATATAAAACTCAAGCAACCCATGATAAAACAACATATCTATGAATTAGTGTAAGTTCAAGAGATACAACCTTTGCATCATTATGCTTTGAAAAGCAATAGGCACAAATCTAAGGAAACCGACCAGTTGGAGAAACTAAGGGACACGTCTCTTGGAGAAACTTATTTTTTCATTCACTATAGAAATTAAATATTATTAAATAATATAAAATTTCTAACACGGGTTGGGTCGGTTTTGTAAGTTCGTGCTTAATTTGTCAACCAACCCGATTCAAACAGGTTCTTGAATTTCACACCCAAAATTGAGCAAGTGTTATTAAGAAATAAACCCAAACCAAACTAATGAAGCTCGGGTCAGGTTCGGTTTGTTCGGTTTGCTTATGAAGCTTATGAAAAAATAGTTGGCATTAAAACATATAAGGCTTGCTATAAAATAAGAAAAGCCCTTAGAGGTAAAAGCCACTTTAATTTTTTGATTTTTCTTTGTGTGTATTGTTTTGCAATTTAAGTTGCTTCTTGACGCTTTTGCATGCTTTGTTGATTTTAGGCCTTTTTGTGGTTTTCTACGCTTTTCCTTGTAATTGTTTTTCTTATCAATAAATTTCTCTCCCTGAAAAAAAAGAAAAGAAAAAGGTTTGATGCCAAATGAATAATGAAAGTGCATTCTCTCGAAAAAGAAAAAGAAAAAAAAGAAAGTGCGTAACTTCTCATGACTAGTGACTATTGTAGAAAGGTAAACAATGTGATTTTGGAGTGAATGAATAGTGGACGGTTAAAAAAAAAAA